TGCTTTCTCAGTCCAATCCCTCATGAATAATCCTGCCTGTAAATCAGATGGGATTACAACTGATACGGTCTCAATTTTCTGGAATGCTTTAATTCTAGTGTAAAGAGAAAAGTTAGCAGCATAAACAGCACCAGAGGATTTGATGAGACCATTGAAACATGCCATGAAACACAGATTGGGTTGGTTGGACTAGGCAATATGTGCATCTATGTGCACATTCACATGTGTCTGCACATTGTCTATATTATTCCAGTATACTATAAAGAACCAAGTGAGAATAGAAAACCTTAACAATGCACATGAAAGTCAACATGTTACAAGGCTTACATTGGATGTTTGGGGCAGATGAATAGAAGTATTAGGAGTAAAGTAAAGGACCTGATCTGATCTCAGTCATTGATGGTGCAGTCTTTGGTAAAAATGCGTGTCTATTTGGTGATTATCAAGCTCCCTTCAGCCTGGTGTTTTGTACAGTGCGGAGTTTCGGACAAAACAAGGACTTCTAAATTGTGATTGAAATTTTCTGACATTTTATAGACCAAACAATTCATTTTTTCATTGAGAAAATAATCTTAATTGATAATGTAAATAATCATTACCTGCAGCCCTAGTTTAAATACATTGCCTTTGCTGTGCGATATTTTCCCTCTTGCTTCATAAGCTTGATCTATTTTAATAAAAATGTCACTGTCTCTGACCGCTCTCACTTCAGGTGGGTGCCTTTACTATAAAACCCTACAAAAACCAAACAAACTGCATGTTGATGGGGATTGACCAACAACATCACGGGCAGCTGGACTGTTGTAATCTCTAAACTCTCTTGGCTAACTCTGTTGCAGCGTTTCTTTCCTTCTGCATTTCTTGCTTCCTCATAATTTTTTCACATATGTTCTTTTCTATTTGTCTGTTACGAGGCCTACTACTCATTTAACCCCTGGCTTTAGCACCAACCATCCACATATTTCCATTCAGAATGACGGCAGCAGATCTTGGTCATTCTTGACTCAAATTTCAAAGTTGTCCACATAGTGATGGAGGCTGGTGGTAGGTCCACTTAATGTAGTTTCCACTCTGCCTGTTCCTGTTGCACATTCTACATCATATAAACTCATGCCTGAACAACTCTTTCAGCCCTTTTTTAAACTAGTCTCTCCTGACTTAAATGCCGGCAGGAGTTTTTTATGTTGGGGAGAAGCAGGTTATCGGTCAGGAGTCTCATGGTGCTGATGCTTGCTGTCGATTTCGATGATGGTCCTGCTTTATGTTAGCAAGTCTTTATCCTGACTTTAGTTACATGTTCACACTGCTACATGTTCATTAGTGTCTTTGTGGATCATTTAGACCTTTGCGCTGCTGTTTTTATGACTCGCAGTCAGACGCTGTGACGGTGGCTGGTTCCTGTTCTGGATTCCACAGATGATTAGTGTTATGTGATGATTATTTCTTTCACTTGCTCTTCCCGTACTGTTCACTTTGAGCCTTTGATGCCACAGCTTCCTAACCCTTATGCATGTTTACTTTATCTTGACTTGTTTACTTTATCTTACATTCATTGGAGGACACAGTTTAGAGCTTGCCAAGTGTTTGCATTTGCCTTGTATTATTACATGCATTAAAATACTGGTTTCAGTTGCAGTAGTCGTGGGAGTCATAAGTAATGTTGCACTGTGACCCGCTGTTCTGCTGTCTGATAGCTTCTCGTTAGCTCCCTCTCATGTCAGCAGTTTGGCCAATTATTGAGTATGGTGCCAGTGTTCATCTCATCCTCCTCACTGCACTTCCAGTGTCTCTTGGTCGTTATTCTAGTATTTACATTTCCACTGCACAAATATGGCTTTCTCTTATACTTTAAAGAGTTGTGACAAAGATATCTAGTCAGGCTCGGGATTTTACAGCTGAATGGTAGTCTTCTTCACAGACGCTGTCCCGCCATCTGCTCTGCCGTGATGTTGCTACTCAGCAAACTCACGTGCTGCACAGTTACTGTAAACTGAAGAGTCAGTAAGGACAAACAATGTAATAAAAACGCTGTGATAAATTAACTCAAGTGTTTTAGTGTGTTTGCAATGTTATGTCTTGTAGCAGATCCTGAAAAGGTGTCATTTTAGAGGTAGGCAGTTTACACTAAGTAGTGATAAATGCTAAAATTGTGGAATGAAGCGGTAACTCAGCTGCATACATCTGCTTCTTGTTCTCTCAGTTTCAACTCTGTCCTGCAAGTGAATTAATTGCCTCTAGGTCTTGAGTCACATTAAACTCCTGTCATGAAATGCCAGATTGAAGCAAACGTGATAAATTAGAGTGCGTGCTGTTATATCTATATCTATGTTACCGTATGAATTAACAAGATGCTTTGAGGAATGGAGGCTATATGTGTCTCATTGAAAGCCTCAACACCGACCACTATGATGTAAATGATGATTTTACAATTGACCGTTCACTAAGCCTGTCGAGCTGATGCAGTTTTCAGGGATAACGATGACAGATTTCTCACCCAAAATTCTTTTTAAACAATCTGTCTTTGGTTCAAGAGAGTGGTAGACAAAAGCAGGCATCTAAGTTTAGCTGGAGACCGTTGATTTTGACAGCTGTCACTGGCAGATTTTATTACCTAATGAAGCCAACGTTAGCTCCATGAGATGGTTGCAAATGCTGTCTCTGGCTCACTTTTTAATGTTTCAAGCTGACTTATTTTAAAGAGAAGCTTGTAAAAAAAGTCTCGGAAATATGCACTTGAGGGCTACATACATGATATTATGCTAAAAGACTGAGGCTTTCATTTCCCAGGCAAAAAGTCATCGTCACCACGACCCAGTAAGACATTGAAATTAAGAAACAGCATTGTACTACAGCATTATATGCCTGATATGGACAAATGTGAGATCAGGCTCATATTTCATTCAAACATAACTCTGTTTGGCTACTTAGCTTAGCATAAAGACAGATGTTTCACTTTTAATGTTAAAGGAGCATTATTTTTTTGCCCCACACATTTTGCGCCAAGCCCCGCCCTTCTACGCTGTGACTGGCAAGCACTTGCTTTGATGCGTGATTGGATGCTAGCTGCGCCAACTGTAGGATGATAGACACCACAGATGCACCTCACCTGTAAATTCTTGTATTCATATTCTAGTTGGTGTTTATTGCAAAAAAGGAAAGATCACTTTAAAAGTGATTAAATTGTTGTGAGTGTTGATTCTTCTCTTACAGTATTTCCCTCATCTTAAACACCCCTGACTCTCAGCATTACTCCAATTGTCCTGGCAGGGGTCTGGATTTCTAGAAAACAATATAACTGCAGGCAGAGAGAGTAATGGTGTTTTTTTTTTACCCCTATATCTTCTACATGTTAAAATATTTTATTAGACAGAACTGTTCTTCTCTGCACTCCGTGCAAACCATCAGGCATTAATTGCCTCTTCCTACATCAATTATTAAATCACAATGCTTGCCTAATGAGCTACAAATGAGTCCTCTTTGTGATATGCTCTCTTGGGCCCCAGATGAGGGGCACAAACTCCTCCATCATTGTATAAGAAAATGACATTTTCAACAATATCATAATCCAAGATTCATTGTTTCCAATTTTTTATATTCTGTGTCATTATTAAGCAGGGAGAGGGGATGGCATGATATGAATAGGGAGAGGGGTCTCTGTCATTTGAAAGACATAAAGCAAAAATGCTCTCTCTACAAAGAGGGCCTGAGGGGGGTTTCTGTAAAGCTTGAGAGCACAGAGGACAGGTCTATTTTTTTTTTCTCCAACTTGAAATAGACTTAATGCTGGGGCTGCTCACCTCTCCTCCTCACCAGCAGCTCTTAATGGCAATAGAAGCGTCTTCTCATGTTATTCAAAAAGGAAGATGATCAGACAGAAAGGGGCTGAGAAATCATGGCGATTTCTGTAATCCTTGTCCACAAACCGCCAATTACAACGTGAGGATGAAATAAAAATCATATCTATTTGCATAGTGCCAAATTACCACAACATACACGTTTTTTTTAATGTCTCCTACAAACGATATGTATGGGTTAAAACCTAAAACCAATATCACCATGTAACTCCAATCTCTTGCCCTATTTCTTTAAATAATTCAGCTGCATTTGCCACAGCGCTGGAGGTAAACACCTTCAATACAGTATATTGTCAGCATCATGGCCAGTGGCTCCCGCTCAACCGGCTTTCACAAAGCAGCATATCATTCATACATGTCAAATAAGACGCGTGGTGAAATTAAATAAGCTTTAAGACATTATTAACCCCTAACCTGCCATCAGCCTAACCCTTAAGCTGCTAACTAGGTCCAAACAGCTATACTAAGACAACAAGTCAGAGAAAAAGTCCCTCCAACCTTAATATTGAAATTATTTTCATAGATATTACGCACAATACAAGGATATTTGAGTGAACATGGATAGCTAAAGGACAGGTCTGTAAAGTTTTACAAAGCTGCAATCAGTGACCTTGAATAAATTAAATGAGTGCATTCTTTTTTAGCCTTTAAACATTATGTCCTTCCTTTGAAGTCTGCATCTTCAGCTGTTTACTCAGCACACTGGGGCTTCGTATAGGTTTTATCAACGTGGACTAAATTTTTCCTCATGTCGCTCTCTAACACCCTTAAACTCATAGAAAGCTCTTGTCACTTCCCCTTAGGGACTTAAATATTCAACTGTTTATAGTGACTTTATCATATCCTACTTTGTATCATCCACACCTACTATGGTGTCACTGAAATAGTCTGATCGGTACTTTTACAGTGCCAGCGGCAATCACAAGTGACTTTATCACTCTCTTTTGTAGGCTATCTCTTGTGTATGGGATTATTTCAGGCAGATTATTTCTCTGCAGAGCTGTTTGGTCCTTCTTTGATCTTTCTGCCTGTCGTATTTGCAAGAAAAAATTTCACACCGTATCGGCTTGGAATGTAATCTAATGCCATCTGTTCTGCGCCCTCGGATCCGTGCGTAATGGCAAAAGAAAAAATCGCAAAACTTACCATGTTTCTCCTTCCTTTTGTGAATTCCTCTCCTCTTTCTCTTTGATAAAAGCGGGCAACAAAAGCAATCAGGGAATTCCGGTGCATGTCCTTCCTTTACGCACAAACGAAATAGGGGCTGGTTACAGTCCAATGCTGCCGGCTAATAGCTTCTGTTTCTGTTGAACGACTAGAATTTATGACGACTTGAACAGTTAGTTTGAAAATGTCTTCATCCAGAGTTCAATCGCTAGAAGGTGTTAAAGGTGTAAAAAAAAACGGGGGTGTGCTCCATTTAATGTATCAAGGCGCAGCTCACCGTGTCTCCATCAGTATTAAATCCCCGAGAAGAAACACGGGGGCTTCCCGATCCTGAGGCGATCCACTCCGCTCCGGGGGAGATTACAGAGACGTCAACAAGTTGCATTCAGATCTGTGTTTCTTGGAGGTTTTGGTGGGAATGGCTAGTCTGGCAGAGTCTCCTATGCGCACCCCCACACACTGAGTAAATTTAAACGACTGCAACCACAGGCGTGTTTCCAAGTAATTCAGTGGATTTCTTTGATAGTCCTGTTACAGTACACAGATCAGAGGCTCTTAGAATCAGGTACAGGGACTGTCCAGAGGCCTCCCTTTGAAATAATGGATAATAATTGGATCTAAAGTATTTGAGTTCAGAGGTTTCTTTTCTGATTAAATCCTTCTGAGATCGTCCCAGGCTTCTTATTTTATGGCTTTAAAAAGGGATACTGCATCCAACATCAGTATTTTGAGTAACAAACACTGACCCCTGTGTGTGATCTGTCAAATGTTTGTGGTTTGCTCTGTTCACAGAGAATAGCAGTTGTGATCGGTTTGGATTTATGGCAGTAAGCTACAGTGGATATCAAGTTTTTAGAGAAACGTATGAAAGCATCCAAAGAAGCTCCTCAAACCATTGACCATTCACCATGATACACTGCTTGTGTTCTGTCAAAATCTGCACCAACAACCTTGTTCAGCTTGAGAGTAATTGCATGCATTGGTTTTATCAAAATATCTAAAGCCTCATCTCCACACACTGTTATGTTGACAACAAATTAACCAGTTTTTCTAAACAATTTGTCACTATTTAAAACAACAAATTTTGTCTTGGTTTTCTGGTTGCACAACTGCAGAATTGCTTCAAACTGTGTGAGACAAGGCTAATTTGAAGCAGCTTCGAGTTTCTGCCATTGCAGAGACAAGCGTCACTGTACTGAATTAAGTTCTCAAACGTAGGGTTACCATTTAGACATGACCTTACAAATATGCAGAATGCTGTTTGAGATTCTGTTAAACAGAACAGAACTACTTTTATTGAGCCATTAGTAAACCTTTTCTAGAACACCACTGAGTTCTAAGGATTTAAAGGAGTTACTGTGTATGTAAGATTTGGCCATCTGCAGAATTCACACAACAAACAAATTCGGTATTGTAAGAAAAAATGAAAAGCAGTTCCTCCTCCTATTTTAGTAAATTTTTAACTAAAACTCTCAGACAGCTCATTTAAATGAAAAAAGCAAAACCACATACTGACAATCAGATTTAAAAAAGTAGTTCCTGAATAATGCAGAAAAGTTCAACTTTCAGCTGACACGTCCTCCTCCCTCTCTTGAAGAGGAGGCTGTTTAGTTATGAAGCTGCAGAAACTTGGTTGTTGGCGGCTGTTTTTCAGTTTGCGATGAATTCTACTTATTTCCAAAGTTGAGGGAACTACCTGCAGAGAGAAATCTTGAAAATGTCTTGGATGATAAACCCACATCTCAGCCACTCTTATAATAACTATAACACACTGCAGAGACACTCAAATTCCGCAGGGGTGGCAATATGGAGTAGTCACAAAGAATAAGCAGCTGCCATGTGAAGACTTTAGGGGAAGCTTCTCTTTGGATGGGTGCACGGACTGCAGAGGGCACAAACGAAATACATGTGCAGATATTGCCCAAAGATGCATGACATGACAAATTCTTCTTGAAAACATGGCTGGCATTGAGGGTTAGGGCTTTAAATATCAAAAAGTTTAAGCATGTACAGTGCATGTCTACAAGATACAGGTGCTGGTCATATAATTAGAATATCATCAAAAAGTTGATTTATTTCAGTAATTCCATTCAAAAAGTGAAACTTGTATAATGTATACATTCATTCCACTCAGAGTGATATATTTCAAGTGTTCATTCCTTTTAATTTTGATGATTATAACTGACAACTAATGAAAACCCCAAAATCAAGACAAAGGTTCAATATTGAAGACACCTGGTGCCACACTCTAATCAGCCAATTAACTCAAAACACCTGCAAAGGCCTTTAAATCGTCTCTCAGTCTAGTTCTGTAGGCTACACAATCATGGGGAAGACTGCTGACTTGACAGCTGTCCAAAAGACGACCATTGACACCTTGCACAAGGAGGGCAAGACACAAAAGGTCATTGCTAAAAAGGCTGGCTGTTCACAGAGCTCTGTGTCCAAGTACATTAATAGAGAGGCGAAGGGAAGGAAAAGATGTGGTAGGAAAAAGTGTACAAGCAATAGGGATAACCGCACCCTGGAGAGGATTGTGAAACAAAACCCATTCAAAAATGTGGGGGAGATTCACAAAGAACAGCTGTCGCATTCCTTGTGTCAAGCCACTCTTGAACAAGACATAGCGTCAGAAGCATCTGGCCTGGGCTAAAGACAAAAAGGACTGGACTGCTGCTGAGTGGTCCAAAGTTATGTTCTCTAATGAAAGTAAATTTTGCATTTCCTTTGTAAATCAAGGTCCCAGAGTCTGGAGGAAGAGAGGAGAGGCACACAATCCACGTTGCTTGAAGTCCAGTGGAGATGCAGATTTCATTTTCCAACAGGACTTGGCACCTGCACACAGTGCCAAAGCTACCAGTACCTGGTTTAAGGACCATGGTATCCTTGTTCTTAATTGGCCAGCAAACTCGCCTGACCTTAACACTATAGAAAATCTATGGGGTATTGTGAAGAGGAAGATGCAATACGCCAGACCCAACAATGCAGAAGAGCTGAAGGTCACTATCAGAGCAACCTGGGCTCTCATAACACCTGAGCAGTGCCACAGACTGATCGACTCCATGCCACGCCGCATTGCTGCAGTAATTCAGGCAAAAGGAGCCCCAACTAAGTATTGAGTGCTGTACATGCTCATACTTTTCATGTTCATACATACATATCAACATTTCTAAAAATCCTTTTTTTGTATTGGTCTTAAGTAATATTCAAATTTTCGGAGATACTGAATTTAGGATTTTCATTAGTTGTCAGTTTTAATCATCACAATTAAATGAAATAAACATTTGAAATATATCAGTCTGTGTGTAATGAATGAATATAATATGATATTCTAATTATATGACCAGCACCTGTATACTGGCAAGACAAAGACACCAAGTCCCCTAAATAAAGCCACTGCTTTAGGGAGCATGCAGTGTTCAGCATTATGCTTAAAAACTGTTTCTCCTTTTTTCCCCCAAGTACATTTTAAAGAAATGCACAATTCAGGCTGTTACTGACAATACTGTTAAACATGTCTGTCAGCGCCACCTCCCGTTAAACTGATATTTTCTGTACTGCATCATCATACTGCTCAGTTTCCTTTGGATATCAGAGAATTACTCTCATGAGAGTTCTCTGGAAATCTCTACTTTTAAGTATGAATAAAGTCTCCTACAATGATATTACAGAAAGAGAAGCCTTGTTAGTTCATTAAATACTGTGATTGAACTGCTGTTTCGCTCAACCATCTTCTGTATATTTTATCTTTAATTGAATCAATACCAGCTCCTTGAAAGCTAATTAGCAGGTTCTAGTATAAAAACCGTTAATGAAGAAATGGAGCACATCACTTGCACACATGAAGGCACACACACACGCTTGCTCTCTCTCTCTCTCTCTGGGCTTTTTTAAGTGGAAACAAAAACGGTGGAACTTTAAATGGACAGATTTGTTTTTGATCCCATCTCCATCCTTGTCAAACAAAACAACCTTGTGGGAATGAAGTACAGTGCTGGGTTGTTTTTTGGTTAAGACCTTTGAAATTCTTTTCTTTAAATGAAGCGTCGAAGTGTGTCTGTGTTGCGTTTTTCCAGCAGTGGTGGTATGTTCTCATGTTTCAGTTAAAGGCCCAATTGATGAGTTTGGAAGTTATTTTTTCTTATTTAGAAAACTGCAGCTTTTATGACACTTTGAGGAACTACAATGCTTATCTTAAATAGTGGAGAGGAGGCCATTAGAAGTTTTGAAAGTTTCTCTCACCAGCAAACACTGGACAGACCAAATGGTGAGATCCTTTTTTAGAGCTGCCAGCCACCTTCATTCATATAGGTGTATGAGACAGAATTATAAATCCATTACATCACTTAAGTCCTTTTTTAAATGACAGACTGATTATGTTGTGCTTCATTTATGACCAGATAGACTGATAATATAATGACATTATGGCCAACAGGTTTTTCTCATTGGCTTTCTTGCATGAATCATGAGTATTTTATTAATCAATCAATCCATTTTATTTGTCACGTCATATAAGGCACAAACAGTCACAATGAAATGTAAATCCCTTAATATCAAGTTAACTATAGACAGATGAGGGGAGATACAGTTGGGGAATAACATGCAACAAAGGTCCCAGGCTGGATCGGGGATATTACTGTCATGGTTGGGAGTGCAGGCAGGATCCAAACGCAGACAAAACAGGCAGACAGGTGCAGTTCTATGATTTATTGTACATAAATCAGCTTACAGGCAGGTGATGGTATTCAGACAGCCAGGTTCTGGCCCTGGTCAAGCTGACAGGCCAAACCTGTAAACCTGTTAGGAGTGTGGTTTTGTGTTCATGCCTTTCCTGTTTTAGTCTGTTTTTGGATTCTGTGTTTCTATAGTTTTATTTGATCTTGTCATGTTTAGGGTTTTGTAGCTAAGTCTAGTCCTTTGTTCATTCGCATGTTTAAGTTTTCTTAGTATCTGTCTTGTCTTGTATTCTAGTTATGTCCTGCATTCTTATCCGTGTCTTAGTGTCTACTCCTGGTCTGTGTACTTATGTTATTTTGTCCATGTTTGCTCCGCGTTCTGTGTAATCTTATTTCAGTCTGTTTTCCCTGTTAGTTGTAGTTTTTTGGTATATTAGTGATTTGTCTGCTTATGTTCTGGTTCAGTTATTTATATTCTGTTTCTTCCTGGTTATTATTAGTTTCCCTATGGCCTTATTGGTGTCTGTCTGTTTCCCCTGCTGTCTCTCTGCCTGCCTGTGTCTCATTAGTCCTGATTACCCTCACCTGTGTTGCACCCGCCCCACTTGTTAGTCCCTGTGTGTGTATATATGCCTGCTTGTGTCTTCAGTCTTTGTCACGTCCTTGTGTCGTATGTTGAGTGTTCTTGCCTGTTCTGTCTCTTGTTCTTTGGATTACTCTGCCCGTGCTTTGCTTGTTGGATTACTTCAGTTTTGGTCTTTGCCTTGTGCTTCACGTAAGCCTGTTTTGTTCAGTTTTGTGTTTAATAAATGTTTTTGGACTGCAACCTCTTCGCCTTTTGGTCTGCATTTGGGTCCACACCTCAGCTCCCTGCCTTCACTCAGCCAACCCATGACAAAACAAGACCTGGCAAAGAGACACATGGGCTGGTATCTGTTAAGTGACTTGTGAGGAGGGTGAAAAAGTCTAAGGGCTGGTAGACAAGTTGGAATTGTCAATTGATGGTTTTGAGGAAGTGGGAATGTGGCTGAAGACAGAGAGGAAATGTGACACGTGACACAATTTATGGTTTGCTCCTAAATCCCATATAACTCCATATTACATCTGTCAACAGGACTGAGTGGGTTGGTAGGTTCTTCTGTGTGACAAAGAGACAGAAAACATATCAGTTGCTCTTCAAATTGTTTTTATTATTTACATTTCAGATCACCACTGATTCTTATGTAAGTGTCTGAACAGGAGGATGAAATTCACTAACAGAAACAGAGTCATCTTTTTGAACAAGAAATGTATTCAACACATGAAAAATGCAAACAAAGCTTACACACTCATACAGACTGAAAACACACCGGAGACCTACAAACACCTTACTATACTGTGAGTGGACTTTGCTGCAGTCAGAGTTTATTACTCTAATTTGCCTCTCTGTCTCTTGTAAACTGTTGCAGTAGCTGCAGTGAGACTCCTGGCACATCCTGTCATAGCTTTATTTGACAGAGTTGTAAACGACTTAGTGGGAGATGAAGCAGGATGAGTGTGCTCACTGTAGTGTCTTGGAGATTCACCAAGAAGGAACCCGATATCTTTATTGTCTCGCCTATTCAAACACTTAAAAGGTCAAACTTGCAGCCCCTCCCTGTTTGTAAAGCACAGAACAAAAGCATTATTGTATTATCATTTCCACAAGGCAGAAACAAATCCATCAAGACAAGCTGCTAAATGGGTGGGGGGGAGTTATCAATGGTACCTGAAAAAATTACATCTTTTTATTCAACTGTTAATCTAAAATCCATAACTTTCAAAATATTATCTACTTCTGGAACCTGTTTTTGAAATGTGCATAACAACATTTTTAATAGCACAGACAGATATAATAATGCATTTTATTTTTTAGCACCTTTTGAGTTACGAAGGACACCTGACAAAAGTCAGGTAATACAGTAAAAGATAAGAGGCCGACAGAAAACAAGCCATCGAGTACATGAAGTCTATATCACATGAACACACTAATAATATACATATTATGAAGCACCATGAAAGGCTTATCTAAAGATGGGACTTTCCAGTTTTTATTCAAAACAACCAACAGATGCGCACTGGCACAAACCCTGAAGTTAGGGCCTGCCACATTGAAGGTCCTGTCACCCATTGTGCGGAGCCTGGATCGGGGAGTGGAGAGTAGATGGGCGTCTGAGGAATATAGTGAGCGAGCAGTTGTGTAGGGGTGAAGAGGATAAGATAAGTAGAGAGGTGCTTTAAAGAGGCAGAGACTTCTCGCAGCCGAATTCTGTACATGCTGGAGTCTGATTAACAGCCAAGTGGGTACACCGAGGAGAAGGGGATAGTGTAATTGGGATGTGATAAAGGCATGAATGAGGGTCTCTGGGAAAGAGTTCTTCAGGTGAATTTTTTTTTTTTTTTTACATGTGTGTGTGTAAGATTTTTAACCTCAGCAACAGAGGATGTAAAAAAACCCAGGAATGGATAGATTTAGATGGGAGACTTTGCAAAGTGTGGCTGGAGTAGAAATGGGGACAACCTCTGATATCCTGAGTAACTGTAAGGTAGGTGCATCCAAGATCATCCAAGCATTCATAACATTTAAGCAGATATTATTTTGATCTTAAAAACATGGATACCTGCTTTATATCATATTTTAACAGCGGTGGTAGAAGTACTGAGATATTTTACTGAAGTAAAAAAAAAGCAATGCAACAGTGTAGAAATAATCTGTCACAAGTAAACATCATGCATTCAAAATTTGACTTGATGATACAAAGGCATTAGCATCAAAATATACTTAAAGCAACATTATGTAGTATGTTTATCTAAAGTAATAGCTTCAAAGTCATTTTGATAGCACACTGACTTGTAATAAGGTGAGTGGCGTCCCTGTCATTGCCACTCCGAGCGCCGATGTAATATTGAAATCCCAGGCAGGAAGTCTATGGGTATCATGGCGGAGGCTGTGAAGAGACGAAGAAGACGTTGGAGAAAGCGAGGAAGAGAAAAAAGAGTGACTGAGCAAGAGACCGGACAAGAGTAAATATCGGACTGAATTTTACTTGGTGTGAGCTACAAGAGCTGAAAAGATGCAGATGCTGTCACAGCCCGGCTCATGGACTGGACAAAAAGGGGAGACACACGGGTAAACTAAATAACAAAGTGATTTATTAATAAGAAAATAAGCAAAACCAATGAGTAGGAAGAATCTGTAAAGTCAGCAGTGTAGGGAGTGGATGAGTGAAAATGTGCTGCATGGATGTTGTGCTGTAAAAACAAAGAAAGAAACAAAACAAACAAAGGAAGCTGTGAGAGGAGGAGGTCCAAACCAAGACTGACTGCTGCTCTGGCTTATATGCATGGGGCACACCGGGCCCAGGTGTGTCCCATGCCGCTGATTACCCTGCCAATCAGGTCTGCAGCCCTGGAGACAGAAAGCACACCAACAGCAATATGAACCCTGCAGAGGGGCCGTCACAATGCCGAGCTGGCCTTCTTTCTGTTGTAAGTAATAACTTATTAACTGGCTTGCTGTGGCTTGTGTTGTTGCACTTGTCTGTGTTAGCAAAGATGTTTACTTGAGCAAAATCAGCCAGAGGTTTCACAGAGGTTTAGCCGCAAGCTATAAATCTTGAGTTAATGTTAGCAAACTTACTAGATAACAGACTCAGACATTGGTAATGTTACTGTAAGTGCTCTTGCATCAGTTGCTGCCAAGTTTCAGAAAACATTATGTAACCTTTCTTCTATGACAAGATGACAACTGGTGGAGAGCGGCGCTGGTGTCGAGCCAGAGCCGAGCGAGCGGGGAACATAACGTGTTAATATTTGTATCACTTTAATGTTGCAGCTGGTAAAAGTGGGGCCAATTTGAACTACTTTATGTGCTGCCAGGTAGTTTAATCTATAATAATACATCAACATTTATTTTAAAGTTTTAAAATAAACATAGTGGGGTAGCATAAAATGGAAATATTCAAGTAAAGTAACTCGTAATTGTACTTAAATAAACAGAAAAAGTTGTAAGGTAACAATGGTATGATGAAGATTGTTCATTTATTCATTCACAGGCTGCATCACTCATGGAGTTTTTTGCCAATGAAGCCTTAATTAATGAGTGCAATGAATGCTCGACCCTCTCACACTAATCCATCATCATTCATCATTAAAGTTATTAGAGGGTGAATTCTGCTGCCTATTTCAGAAAATCTAACAGTGCACAGGCATTGAATGACCATATTATACTTACCTATAAGTGGCCAGGGCGCTTGTTCAAACACAAGGCCGACATGTTAAATTGCTGTCAGATTAAACGGGGCTTAAACATTATATCCATTAAATTTGGGTTTAATTACCTTGAGCAACAGACAGTGATGTGAGGCATCCATCTTTGGCATTCAGGCACTTCCATATTGATAAGCATCAAGTCAGATATATTGGAACTTTTAGAAAAATCCAAGTTGCGTAATTGTAATCTTGACTTGAATGTTGACTGAGTATGAATGAATGTGGCATGAGTACAAGACAGAGAAGGGAAGTCAAACACAATGTTAGTTTTTGCCTTTGCATGGGATTTCTTGACAATAAGAAAAATATAGAATAATGTCAGCCTTAAACTAATAGTGGAGCCTCGAACTCACCAATGTTTCACTGAGACCTTTATTGAAAACAACAGGCCCTCTGGAGCCAACTGATGGCAGCATGTCAGCTGCCTGAGTTACTATTCTGCACTGAGAGCTCATTCGCTTGCAGAAAGAAATTCCCAGTGGATTATTCGCAGAATGCTAATGTCACCATGTTTTTAACTGTAAAGGCTGTGTTTTCCCAACAATGAACTTTTCATACCTTATCAATTATGACAAAACACAAAAGAGATAAAAAAAGAAGTTGTTTTTTTGTGTAAAGAAAACCCAAAGGCAATTTGGCTGCAGAGCTGTGTTTTCTGTTCTTACTGTTCACCATGAAAAAAGTCGTTTCAGCAGTGGTAAAGTACAGAGGCCAAAGGCATGAGATACAAAGGCAGAAATCATAGTAAACAAAGGGAAGACTGTTGTTAAAAAAGAATAGATAGTTTAGAAGAGATAGGAACATAATCCTGGTAAAACTGTACACACAACAGCCAGAAGAAGAACAGAAGAATGACATGATTATATCACAAACAATTTTGAATGGTTACTTTATCTTAAAGTGCTCAGAAAGTGCTCAGTTTAGACTTGTGAAATTCAAATTACTGTTGTTAACCTCTAATTATGATACAAGAACTAGAACAACACAGTGATGGAATTTCACACCTGAGACGTAACCAAGGATACAACACTTCGTTACCTTAACCAAGTTGTTTTAGTTACGTAAACCTATTCAGATGTCATCAAAATAAATTTAACTTGATTGCGTTCAGTCCTGATATGTTGATAAAATTTAGCATTCTTTCCCCAAAATACATTTTTACAATAGAATATAGTTGTTTGTGAACATAATTTCTCAAAGAGCAAATGCAGCATCTTCCTGCTTCAGCTGAATGTTGAAGCACGTGGACCCTGTAACAATCAAACATTACTACACCATGTAGTAATTTATGTACTGTAATAAATACACACATATACTGTATTGTGCACACACTCAGCTCTGATACTGCTGTCAAAAGCACTGACAAGCAGATGAGTGAGATGGGATATTTACATGTGCATTACTGTGGTTTCTGTTGTGCAGCCGTATTGCAACGGAAGAGAATATTGTGTGCATAAATATATAAATTGACAGCATAAAAATACAGAACAACAACGATTAACAATTGACAACAAATATGTGCAATGTGCAAGGTCTGTGCGTGATATGATATGAAATTAAATAATATTTACATGTGCAGTGACATTTGTATTATTTGAAAGGGGAGGAGTGTCAGTGAGGAGGCTAGCTGCAGAAGGGAAGAAGCTGTTTTTGTGGTGAGAGGTTTTGGACCTGATGGACCGCAGCCTCTTGTCAGAGGGGAGAGTCTGAAACAGTTTGTGTCCAGGGTGGGAGGAGTCAGCTGCAATCTTTTGCTGCTCGCTTCAGAGTCCTGGAGGCGTACAGGTCCTGAAGCGATGGATGATTGCAGGCAATCACCTTCTCTGGAGGGCGAATGATGCACTGCAGAATGCCCTTGTCCCTGGCAGTGGCAGCAGCGTACCAGATGGTGATGGAGGAGGTGAGGATGGACTCAATGATGGCGGTGTAGAAGTGCACCACCACTGACTTTGGCAGGCTGAACTTCTTCAGCTGCCACAGGAAGTACATCCTCTGCTGGGTCTTCTTGGTGAGGGAGGTGATGTTCAACTCCCACTTGAGGTCCTGGGAGATGATGGTGCCCAGAAGGCAGAAGGAGCCAACACTAGCGACTGAGAAGTCACACAGGATGATGGGGGAAGGTGGGGCTGTGCTCTTTCTGAAGTCCACGACCATCTCCACTCTCTTCAGAGCATTGAGCTCCGGACTGTTCTGGCTGCACCAGGTCACCAGATGGACAATCTCCCACCTGTAGATGGACTCATCCCCACCAGAGATGAGCCCAATGAGGGTGGTGTAATCAGAGACATGTTTTCCCAGCTTCACATGCTGCTTCCTGTCCGTCAGGAAGTCAGTGATTCACCTGCAGGTGGAGTCAGGCACGTTCAGCTTGTCCGGTTGTAGGACCGAGGATGATGGTGTTGAAAGCAAAGCTGAAATCCACAAACAGGATGCTGGTTTAGGCTCCAGGGGAGTCCCCGTGCTGAAGGATGAAGGAAAGGCCATTACTTTAAAATATACAGACCTGTTGGCTCTGTAGGCGAACTGCAGGGGGTCCAGGAGTGGGTCAGTGATATATTTAAGGTGGGACAACACAAAGTCCTCAAAGGACTTCCTTACCACAGAGGTCAGGGCGACGGGTCTGAAGTTGTTTAGTCCTGTGGTCCTTGGTTTTTTGGGGACAGGGATGATGGTGGAGGCTTTGAAGCAGGCTGGCACATGGCGAGTCTCCAGTGAGGTGTTAAAAAAGTCAGAAGAACACCAGAGACAGCTGATCAGCACAGTGCTTCAGGGTGGATGGGGAGACAGAGTCCGGGACAGCTGCTTTGCGGGGTTTCTGCCTCCTAAATAGTCTGCTGACATCCCTCTCTGAGATGGAGAGAGGGGGGGTGGACTGGGGCTGAAGCTGAGCAGAGGAGTCACGGGGGATGGTGTCTGATTGACTCTCAAAGCGGCAGCAGAATTGGTTCAGTTCATTTGCCAGGCGACAGTCGTTGATGGAGTGGGGGGCTTGGGTTTGTAGAATGGATTTTAATTATAGCCTACATATCCCTTTTATGTTAACACAAGCACACATTTCTGTGTAATGGCTACTGAGTGAAGAACAGGAATAAATGAGTGATAAATCAGTGCTTCATACATACGTGGACATGGTTTGGTTTTAAAAAGTCGGACAAAATCAATTGAGCAAAATATCAGATATCTGCTGTATCAGCTGCTTCCAAAGGTGCAATACCACTAACCACAAATCTAATTCAAAAAGCAAACACGTCCACTACCCTGAGAAATGTTTGCCAGTGCACTCAGCTCTGAGAGCTACTTGAGTGCATTCTCAAATGTAGCGCTACAGAGGCAGGACCAAACGATGAGGATACATGTCAGCAGCATGAAGAATGTAGGAGAATGTGAGCAACATTGCTGACATTGTTGGCTGAGTCACATATAAGACAATGTTCAGATCATAAAAAGCCAGAGGTGAAGGGAAATTACAGACACCATAACTGTGCAGCCATGCCCATCTATACAGTTGTGAGAGATACTTTTATGGCACTGGTGAAAATGCTGGATTGTTGATACTACCACTACCACTACTACTACTACTACTACTACTACTACTACTTATACTACGCCTCAAAAAATTCAAGCAAAACAAAATACTGAAGTTGCACAACAGCTGCCAGGGGAATATTGCAGCAAACAGCATACTTACGAATTATCTTATTTGCATTATGAATTAACAGTCAACCCTGTCTTCCATTGATCACATTTATTTACTATTAATTTAAACATTGTTCCACCTGTATTACATTTCAACATAATGGGGAAATGTTAATTAACGTATCTGCCAGGTGGCAAAATGATGATACTGAATATATCAGCAAAATATTCACTGACAACACATATAGTTTGTTTTGCTACAATATCCACTTGTAGCAACTGCAACCCACCTTGACCTCCTCCCTACGAGTAGTGCGTATTACAGGAATGAAAGCACTTCCTTCACTAGGAAAAAGGTTGCCAGGGAACATAATGCAGGCAGTGATTATGTTTCCCATCAAAATGTAATTGGCAAAAAAAATTAGTAGTATATTAACATCATTTGTAGGAGACACAGTCCGTTGACTTGTGAACAGACACTGTTCACAAGTCAACACTTTATCAGCATAAGCAGGCCTTCGGTCATAGCAGCAGCAT